TTCATGGTATTTTTACAGTAGTAGTATTTTGATGTTTCCAGTATACTTCATGGTATTTTTACAGTAGTAGTAGTATTAGTATTTTGATGTTTCCAGTATACTTCATGGTATTTTTACAGTAGTAGTAGTATTAGTATTTTGATGTTTCCAGTATACTTCATGGTATTTTTACAGTAGTAGTAGTATTAGTATTTTGATGTTTCCAGTATACTTCATGGTATTTTTACTGTAGTAGTATTAGTATTTTGATGTTTCCAGTATACTTCATGGTTTGTCGTCTCTTGGCAGGTTGGCGTTCGACAGCTGTACGTTCAGATCGATGTGGCGGCCATGTAGAAGCTCCGCCTCCACACCTGGGATGTGGCGGCCATGTAGAAGCTCCGCCTCCACACCTGAGACCAATCACATTTAGTTCTTGCTGCAGGTGACCTCTGAAGCCCACAGTGGCTGCAGGACACTCAGGGGGGTGAGGAGGGGGAACACATGAAGAACATTTGAACTCAAAAARCTCCGCCCAATTTTTTTTTATTATGGGGTTGCCAGGCAACAAGTCCTCCCCCCCTCCCCCTCTGCACTTTAACTGGAGCAAAGCATTCTGGGAAAGTGCCTTTATCATGAATCAGAGACAATCTGAGCTCCTCCCACTACTGCTGACATCACAGCTGAGACCTGATTGGTCCTTGGCGAGTGTGATGTCACTGTTTTTACTGTGCCAAACCATGTGACCAAACATGTGACCTGAGTGTTTTTTAATCACTGTAATAAATAATTCTCTTCTGATCCCAGTCGCTCACTTTCATCTTTATTATTTTAAAGTCACTTCCTGTTGCTCCTCCACAACAAGCTAAAGTTTTCTGAGGAAGCTCCGCCTCCACGCGTCAGGACATGAAGGTGGAGCTGTCGACGGCGCTCAGGTGTTCCAGCGCGTTCGGCTCGGCGTTGATGCGCAGCATGTCCACCTCCAGGGGGTGGAGCCTGCCCGTCACCACCAGCGAGTGGAGCGGCGCGCCCAGGTCGCAGGACGCCAGCTGGAGCAGCGTCCCCGCCCGGATCGTCTGCTCGTCCGAGCCGAGCCGRGCCAAACCCACGCACACCGTGTCCTCGGTGACACCTGGGGGGAGGGGTCAAAGGTCATTTACAAACTAAACTGAAACGATCATCTGTAGAACTCACCAAGCTCCGCCCCTTCCTCCCGCCTCCTCTGGATGATCTGAATCAGCTGATCAGCAGCCTGACTGACGGTCATGAAGCGAGGAGGCTCGTAGATCTTCTTCCCTCTGCCGGGAGAAACAGGAAGCTGATTAATAATCACCAGGAGCTACAGGTGTCACCAGGTGATCAGGAGCTACAGGTGTGTCACCAGGTGATCAGGAGCTACAGGTGTCACCAGGTGATCAGGAGCTACAGGTGTGTCACCAGGTGATCAGGAGCTACAGGTGATTAAATTGGTTCTACTCTTTTGATTGACAGCTTTTCTGACCAACCAGATTGATCTCTGGCTTCTCTATAGCCAATAAGGTCCAGTAAGCTCCAATTTAACTTAATTTAATTTAATTTAAAATAGTAGGTTAGAAATATATAAATGGACCAGTTACAAAAGGAGAACTTTACCTCATGTTTTCTTTTAATTTCCCTTTGTTTAAATAAATTATATATTTTAGAACATAATTTACATTTTGCTGTTTTTAAAAATATATTTTTTTCTTTTACTTGTACATGTGTTTGTGTATTTAATGTTTATATTTAAGTCTTTTTACATGTTTTTACTTTACCTCATGCGATTTTACCTCGTTATGTAAATAATGTGGGCGGGGCTYCTTGTGTCAGCTCCTCTCCTATTGGTCAAYAGACAGGAAGCAGCAGGATCCATGTGCAGATCTGCTGTGATCTCATTTATTGGTCCATTTATATATTTCTGTTTTTACTTCTAATCATGTCAGTTTCAGTTCTACATAAGAAAAAATAAATAATCTGATGTTCTGAGGACTTTGGGACAAAGATGGGTTTTTGTGGTGAAAGCTGACTYGGCAGCCATGTTGGATTTAAAGATGAGACCTTTGGTCATTAAAAGATGACGTTTTCTTCATCGTGTAAGTAAAACGTTTATATCCTGCTGCTGGTTTAGAAAGAGTTCTGGTTGTTTTGGTTTTAATTKACAGTGGCTGCAGGAACACAGCTGTGATTTATTGACTGATTATTGATCATTTTGTGTATTTTATTCAGTCTGGAGCTAAAACTAGATGATAAATGTTTAATTTGAGCCTGCAGTGCAGTCTGCTGAAGCATTCAGGACTAATGGTTTATTGAATAGAATTGAACACACATGATCTAAAATACTCAGATTTTACCTGGTAAAATACCTGGTGTTTACCTGGTAAAATACCTGGTGTTTACCTGGTAAAATACCTGGTGTTTTCCTGGTAAAATACTGGTGTTTACCTGGTAAAATACTGGTAAAATAACTGGTGTTTACCTGGTGAAATACCTGGTGTTTACCTGGTGAAATACCTGGTGTTTACCTGGTGTTCAGCATTTAACAGATCTACTTTCATACAAAGACATCAAAGTTCTTTAAATTAAATTTTTTTTTTTTACTCCAAAGGGTTCAAGAAGAGTGTATAATTTGATTTGGGTCTGATGTTTTACGGGGTTAGAGGTCAAAGGTCACGACAGGACAGGAGCAGACTGAACCAGGATCTGGATCAGGGACTAGTTAGAGTTCTTCCACTGGTTCTGGTTCTGGCTCGRTGTGGTTTGTTGCTTTGATCTGTTGTGAGTCCTCGCCACCGCTCCACTCGAGGTTCAGCTCTGACCTCATCAGACCCAACACAACAAAGACCAGCTGAGACCACAAACTGTAGACCAGAGGAGGATCTGGACCCAGCTCTGGTTCTTACCTCATCATGTTCTCCACGCTCTGCTCTTTGACTTTAATGTCTGTCAGAATACAGAACAGAAAAAACCACTGAGAACAGATCTGTTTTTATTTAACATTTTTAAATTCAGACAAACTGAGTTATTAATGCAAATCATKTAGTAAATAACTGAACACATTAAATATGTAACAATATATTTAAATTTAGTATTTATCTTCCAAAAAGACAAACTGAAAGAAAAAAACATCTGAACCACAGGATAGACAACATTCAAGATGGCCGCCGTAGCCAACAGATGATCGGAGGTTTCTGAGCTGCAGGAGACGTCTTTGGTTTATTAAAAGAAACCAAACGGCTGCTGCTTCACGCAGAGACGAGCGTCTCGTCCCTCTTTCATCTCCTCTGATGAATATTAACGAGCGGCGCGTCGTTTAGCTCCCCGCAGACTGTTGGTTTAGGGGGCGGGGCTCTGGGGGGACTCTGGGGGCCCGGGTGATTGATGGGGACACCTGGGGACTCCCTGAACGCATCACACSTCCTCTAAAAGACGGACGGCTCGTCCTGAGATCATTTTCAGTTTTTATCTGAATTCTGCAGACTWTCAGCTGTTTTTTATGAAAACATTCGGCTCTTTCAGGAGACGGCTGCTACAACCTTTAGCTTTTGTAACTTTTGTAYTTTTTCATAATATCTAACTTTTGTTACAAATATTTTCCATAAAACARGTTGAGCTTCCTTCACTTCAAGCTTCAGCTGCTTTATCGTCTTATGCTAATGTTAGCTTTTAGCTACCATTCTGCTTCTTTTTAACTACCATTCCAGTTTTTAGTAGTTTTTAGCTACTGGTCCTTTTTTTTTGGCTATCATTTAGCTGTTTTTTTTTTAGTTTTCACTCTTGTTTTGCTCCTTCAGCTACTTACCTGACATTTTTAGCTTTTAGCTACAATTCTGCTCCTTCAAATTTTAGCTACTGTTCTGTACTTTCTGGCTATTTTTTTTCTGGCTATCATTCATTATTTTTACTCATTTTGCCCGTTTTCAGCTACTGTTTAGCTTCCTTTAGCTTTTAGCTACACTTACTGTGGACCAATGTGTGAACTGAGTTTAGGTTAGTTTAAGGGTCAATGGTCAGAGTTAGGATAGACAATTATCAGAAAATGAATGGAAGTCAATGGAAAGTCCCCACAGGGAYATACAAACAAACTGTGTGTCTCACCCAGCAGACAGAGKGTGTGAAGTCCAGCTGATCTGTTTTTACAGATTTTATCGTAGAAACTCTCAGGTCTCCACGTCTCYGTCCAAAACACCACAGAGACCGTCTCTCCAAAGTTATAGAGCTGGAACCAAGCAACACACAGAGGTCAAAGGTCAGAGGTCAAAGGTCAGCAGAGCAGCATCACATGTTGATGAGTCAAAACCAATCAGGAATTAAACCATATTTCGGCTCATGTCWGTGTTTGTCTGTTAGTAAAATATCTCCAGACAGACAGAAGGGTCTGAGCACCGCCTGACAGCAGAGACTGAAACCACTCCCAGTGGAGGGAAACCTGAGCTCATTAATAAGCCCCGCCCCCTCATTAGCATATTAACTGTGTCCCAGTGGAGCCCAATGTTAGCATTAAACGTGTGTGTGTGTGTGTGTGTGTGTGTGTGTGTGTGTGTGTGTGTGTGTGTGTGTGTGT